TATGAAAAATAAAATAGTGTAAATAAATAATAATTACTCACTTGACATATTTTTATTCCAATTATTATTTGAAAGGTGGAAATTTATCTCTGCTACTGTGTCTGTCTGACCAGTAATGATTTCTACTACTTTGGAATTCTTAACCTTTTTTTATAATATTTTTTATAATATTTATATTATTTTTTATACTATTTATACTATTTTTTATACTATTTATACTATTTTTACTATTATTTATACTATTTATACTATTTTTACTATTATTTATACTATTTATACTATATATACTATTTTTATAATATTTATACTATTTTTTATACTATTTATACTATTTATCCTATTTTTACTATTATTTATACTATTTATACTATTTTTACTATTATTTATACTATTTATACTATATATACTATTTTTATAATATTTATACTATTTTTTATACTATTTATACTATTTTTATACTATTTATACTATTTTTTATACTATTTTTAATATTTTAACACTATTTTATTTTATACTTTTTAAGTTTTTATACTATTTTTACTTATGATTTACAGTATTATTTTTTATCTAAAATTTACTTGATTCTACTTGTCTGACCAAAAATAAAATTCACTACTAATTATAAGTAGAAGATATTAAAAACAAAAAGTAATTTTCATTCCTCGATGCAAAATTAACTCTATATTTAAAAAACTTGTCTGACTAAAATTAAACTTTCCTACTGATTAAAATTACAAGAAATCGAAAAATTTTGTTTTGGAACTGCAAACTTTTGATCTCATTCCAAACTTTAGAACTTAAAAAACAAAAAGGTTATTTTCAGTACTCCTATCGTAATTAAAATTGTATTTAACAATCTGTCTGACCAAAGCTAAACTTTACTACTAATTAGAAAAAAAAATTTCGAAAAGTTCTGCTCAAAGTTGCGTTCTTTACTTCTCAAGAAAATATTCTGAAATTAATAAAAAAAAATAACTAATTTTCAATAGTATTAATAAAATTAAGTTTATATTAAAAATAATTTGTCTGACTGAAACTGAACTTTACTACTAATTAAAATTTTAAAAATTCTAAATATTCTTCTTATAACTACGACTTTTAATTTTGATACAAAAATTCCAAATTTAACAATATAATTATTTTCTATTACTGTTAAGGTTAACATAATTAAATATTTATTAATGACATTTGTTTGACCAAAATTAAAAATTATTACTACTATTAAAAAAAAAATTCTGTAAATTCTTCTTAAAGTTGCGTTCTTTATTTCTTATAAAAACATAGACTTTAAGAAACAAAAAGTAATTTTTAATTCATTCAACAGAATTGAAATTCCATTTAAAAAATTTGTCTGACCAAAACTAAAATTTACTACTGTTTAAAATTAAAAGAGTTCGAAAGATTATGTTTGTCTAACGAAAGCTAAAATTTACAAAAATTCCTTAAAATTCTTCATGAAATTACGACATTTTATTTTACTAAAAAATTTGGAGTTTAAAAAACCAAAAACTAATTTTTATTTCTTTTAAATAAATTAAGTTTCTATTAAAAATAATTTGTCTGACTAAAACTGAACTTTACTACTAATTAAAATTTTTTAAATTCTCAAAAATCTTCTTATAACTACGACTTTTAATTTTGATACAAAAATTCCAAATTTCACAATATAACTAATTTTCTCTACTCTTAACAAATTTAAATTTATGTTTAAAGAATTTGTCTGACTAAAACGAAACTTTACTACTAATTAAAATTTCAAAAATTCAAAAAATTCTTCTTCAAACTGCGACCTTTCGTTCTACTACAAAAATTCAGAATTAAAAGACATAAAAATTATTTTCACTACTCTTTCAAGAATTAAATTTATATTTAGAAAAATTGTCTCACAAAAATTAAAATATACTACTATTTAAAATTAGAATGCAGAATATATTTTTTTTAATTTTCCGATTTTTACTTTTTATGGAACATTGAGAATTTAAAAAATAAATCTGATTTTTACTACTTCTTATAGAATTAAATTTATAATTGAAAATATTGTCTGACTAATACCTACATTTACTACTGATTAAAATACGAAGAGTTTGGACAATTATTACGAAACTACTTTCTATTATTTCGATCCAAAAATTCGGAATTTTAAAATCAAAAATTAATTTTTATTACTTTCAAATGAATTAGTTTTATTTAAAAAAATATTGTCTGACTAAAACTCAACTTTACCACTAATTGAAATTAGAAATATTCGCAATTTTTTTCTGAAAAACGAAACTTTTAATTTTGGTTGAAAAATTTAACTCAATTTCTTACTTCTGATACAAAAATTCAGAATTTAAAAGCAAAAATTAATTTTTAATACTTTTAGAATTACATTTCAAGTTAATAAAATCTGTCTGACCAAAACTAAAACTTACTACTAGTAAAAAGCAACAGTCACATAAAACTTTCTTACATGAGAATAAAATTAAATTCTTCATCAAAAAAATTACACCTATTTTAATATTTCTCCAATCAAAATTTTGATTTACAACTAAATAACAAAAATTGATTATTTTCGTCTGACTAAAATTGAATTTTACTACTACTGAAATTTCCAAAAGTTGAAAAATTAAAATTCTTCTCTGCCTTTTCTTTTCTTTGCCGAAAAAAGTACAAATAATTACGAAATTTCAACAATTATCTTAGAAATTTCTCTGATAAAATCAAATTTGTCTGACCAAAAGTAAAATGTACTACTGAAAAAGTAAAAGAACGTAGAAAATACATCTTTACCGAATTTACTTTTATTTTTATATGAAAATTCAATTTTTAAAAACTAAAAACTGCTTTTTAGTTTTTTATCTATTAAAAGAGTTGAAAAATCTATTTAAAAAATTTGTCTGACCAAAACTAAAATGTACTACTAGGGAATAAAGAAGAATTGTGGAAACCTTTCAGCGTGAAATTAAATTTAATATTCTTATAAAGAAAAAAACTACAAAAATTGAAAAAAATTTCCATAACCGAATAAATAATATTACCATTTCCATCTGACTAGATTGATTACTACTACTACCTACTAAAATTTTCAAAAGTCGCAAAATTAAATTAAACTTTGCTCTTTTTACCCTCAAAAAAAAGTACGAAAATTTACAAAATTTCACCAATTATCTTAAAAATGTTTGTCTGCTAAAAACAAATCCTCTCGACGAGTAACATTAATTTTCCGAAAAAAGAAAGAAAAAATTAAAATTACTTCAACATCGAGACCCAAAAAAACAAAAATTGCAATATTCTCAAGTGTAATTATTTTTACCCCCCTATTTGCGAACGTGTACCATATACAGATATAAAATTTTCACATCTGAATATCGTTTTGAATTTAATTTTGTCCCCACAGAGAATCTCCTGAGACTTTCAAATCTTTTGGGAACGAACCAAACTTTTCGTTTGCGGGAACAAATTAATTTATATACTCAGTAATAAACTAGTAAATCCCAAAATGAATTGACGCAATTATCTTAATGCACAACAATTAATTAGAAAATTTCCTTAAAAAAAAAAATCTTTCCCTCCTTTCAAATTTTTCCATCGTAGAAAATATTTTCCTTAAAAATATATTCAAAATTTCAAATTGCAAAATAAATTTTCAATAAAAGATGTCCATAAATATTTTATCCGAGAAAACAATTTGTCTGACCAAAATTAAAATTTACTACTTATTATTAAAATTACAAAAATTCGTAAAATTCTTCATGAAACTACAACATTTTATTTTACTAAAAAACTTCGAGTTTAAAAACTAAAAACTAATTTTTATTTCTTTTAAATAAATTAAGTTTATATTAAAAATAATTTGTCTGACTAAAACTGAACTTTACTACTAATTAAAATTTTTTAAATTCTGAAAATTCTTTTTATAACTACGATTCTTAATGTTGATACAAAATTTACAAATTTAACAATAACTATTTGTTTTTTGAACTTTAGAAAAAATGGCGCTAATGTATGTAAAATATCTAACGAGGGGAGAGAGGGGGAGGGGGGGGGGTAAATTTTTCAAAAAAAAGTATCTTGCGTAATTCATGGACGGCCTCTAATAAAAAATATTTTTTAAACAAAAATATTCTATAAAAAAATATTCTATAAACAAAAATATTCTATAGAAAAATATTTTATAAAAAAATATTCTATAAACAAAAATATTAGAGTTGTGCAAAAAGCTCGAGGCTCGAGGCTCGAGCGAGCTTTTTCGAGCTTTTCATTTTTCGGGCCGAGCCGAGCCGAGCCTAATCAGTTCGAGCTCGAGCCGAGTTCGAGCCGAGCCGAGCTGTGTAAAAAGCTCGAATAGTTTCGAGTACTCGAGTTAATTCGAGTACTCGAATTTTTCGAGCACTCGAGGGAATTCGAGTACTCGAATTTTTTCGAGCTCTGAGTAAATTCGAGTTCTAGAGAAAATTCATAGAATTTTCGCATTTATTATATTTAGCAAATAGAAATATTGATTCAGTAATTCAAAAAAATTCGAAATTTTTTACTTATTAATAGTTTTTTTAGTAAGTCAAAAGCTCGAATCCATTCGAGTACTCGAAAAATTCGAGTACTCGAATTCACTCGAGTGCTCGAATTCACTCGAGTGCTCGAATTTAATCGAGTACTCGAATTTACCCGAGTACTCGAATTTTTCGAGTACTCGAAGTCACTCGAGTACTCGAAAATTTCGAGTACTCGATACATCGAGCCGGCTCGGGCTCGGCTCGGCTCGGCCCGAAAAAATTTCGGCTCGGCTCGACTTTTCGAGCTTTTTGCACATCTCTAAAAAATATTATAAAAAAATATTTTATAAAAAAATATTCAATAGAAAAAATAGTCTACAAAAAAATATTCTATAGAAAATATATTTTATAAAAAAATATTCTATAAAAAATATTCTATAAAAAAATATTCTATAAAAGAAAATTTTTTCTATAAACAAAATAAATAAATAAAAAAATACCTAGTAAATAAATATAAAAACTCACCACTCCTTCGCCAATGTTGTGAACAACGCAGGGCAACAATGCAGTGGAGCCGGACTGAGAAGAAATGACTGTAGAATTTTCAGTGCCGAAAGTCATCGGAAGAGTCGGCGCTAAATCAACGTCTAAGGGTTTAAGTGTACGATCTAACGAATTGGCGTTCATCCCGACTACTTCGGCCGTAACTGCAGAGGGATAGTCTGAAAAAGAAGATGTTACATAAAAAAGTCGTTACTCCACGAACCTGGCTTTCATGATGGGAGCATAAAACCAAAAGTATGTCAATTGTCGTTTAAAAAAAAAACCACCACCACCACCACCATCGTTGTCTTTACTTGAGCATTTTATCTTAACAAATATTTGCACATTATTCGTTGCGTGGATAAAAAAAAATTTTTTTTTTTTTCAATCACAGGAACTCTGAATATTCATGGTAAACTGCTCCTGAATCCTCCTATTGTTTGAAAAGTGACTAAAAAAAAAGTGAATGGAAGATGAGTAAAAATATCAGCAAACAATGAGTGAAAATTTATGAGTAACGAGAATAGTAAAAAAAAGAAGATAAAAAAATAACAGCGCAAATAAGAGTAAAAATAATAGAAAAAAAAGAGGAATAAAAAATTGAGAAAAGTTAAAAAAAAAATTCCTTAAAAGAAAGAATTGAAAAAAATACATATTTTAATTACGCCAATATGAAAGAAATTTTGAATTTTAATTTCGAATATTTAATCTATAATGAGCGATCTTTGCATCTCATTTTAGTTTCACTTTCTAGCTTTTTTAGTTATTGCGAAAGGATTCATTAGCATATTTTTTCATAATTTTCTATTTGTTTAATATTCACTTCGTCATATTTTGAAAAAGAAAAAGAATTTTATCAATGCAATTTGGAGAAATTTTCCCAAGTTTACAGTGAATTATAATTACCAACAAACATGAAATTTGGAATTCGATTAATCGAAACAATTTCCCTTTAACACTCGTCAAAGATGCAAAAAATTTCGAAAATTTTACACCCAATTACAAAAAAATATATTTCAATCAATTTTTTTTCAATAAATTAACTTAGAAAAAAATAAATTCAATAACCTTCTATGTAGAAATGTATTCATTTCGTTCTAATTGCTATGTAAAAAAAAAATAAATAAACAAAAAATTCTGCAAAAAACTAACAAGAATAAAACGAAAGAGTAGAAAAAAATAAAAATAATATTGTAATAAAAAAAAATCGTTGAACATCGAAAAAATATATTTCAATCAATTTTTTTTCAATAAATTAACTTAGAAAAAAATAAACTCAATAACGTTCTATATAGAAATGTATTCATTTCGTTCTAATTGCTATTTTTCAAAAAAAAAAAAAAATAAACAAAAAATTCTGCAAAAAACGAACAAGAATAAAACGAAAGTGTAGAAAAAAATAAAAATAATATTGTAATAAAAAAAAATCGTTGAACATCGAAAAAATATATTTCAATCAATTTTTTTTCAATAAATTAACTTAGAAAAAAATAAACTCAATAACGTTCTATATAGAAATGTATTCATTGCGTTCTAATTCCAATTTTTCAAAAAGGAAAAATAAACAAAAAATTCTGCAGAAAACTAACAAGAATAAAACGAAAGAGTAGAAAAAAATAAAAATAATATTTTTAAAAAAATCGTCGAAAAAAAAGAAAACAAATATTAAAAATAATATTTTGTGTTTAAAAAATAAAATGACTTCCAAAATGGTAAGTATGCTCGTAGATGAAACAAAAAATTAAAATAAAACAAAAAGGAATTTATTCCACATGCAAAATTTATTCGTATAGAAAATAATAATAAAGCAAACAAAAAAGAAACAGATGTCGACAATTGAAATTCATTAATGAATGAATTGAAGCGAAAAAAATAATTCGAATTTTATTTAAACACTGCAATTTTCCATTTCAATAGAAGTATTAAAGAATTTTATTTGCTAAGCACATGTACATGATTGAGAAAGCAAGAAATTGGAAAATTCCTTCCATTCGCGATCTGACAGGCTTTTGAAAATGAAATCAGTGTGGAAGTTTTCAGCTCTACGAAGAGTAAAATTGATTTCGGTTGAATAAAGTCTAATATTCGATATAGAACACGCTCTTTCATCTCTGGTTAGTTTATCTTTTCAACAAACCACAAATTGTTTGCGGTCTTTCATTATTATTGTTATTATTGTTATTGTTATTATTATAATTATTAATATTATTATCATCATTATTATTCTTATTATTACCATTATTATTAGTATTATTATTTTTAGTATTATTATTATTATTATTATTAGTATCATTATTGTTAGTATTATTATTATTGTTACTATTTTTATATGATTTATTTTCTATTATTTCCATTACTCATTATTATTATTATTTTTATTATTATTCTTAATATTTATTTATTACTTATTTTCTATTATTTTTATTACTAATTAATACAGATTTTTATCTTCACCCAAAAACACAAATTACATTTTAACAAACACAGTTTAAAAAAAAAGTTTTTACAAACTAATTATCATAAGTGTTAAAAGAATTGAAAATAAAATTTTTAAATTTGTCTGACTGAAACAAAAATTTACTACTTATATCAAAAATTAGAAATTTTCAGACAATTCTTCTTGAAGTTCGTAAAATCCTTCATATAACTGCGTCTTTCTTTTTCGATGCAAAAATTCTGAACTTTTAAACTAGAAACTAATTTTTATAACTGTCAACAGACTTAATATTTAAACTTAAAAATTTGTCTAACCAAAACTAAAATTTACTACTAGGTTGAAATCAGAAATTTTCGGAAAATATTTTTTAAAACTGCAACCATTTGCTCTGATGCAAAAATTCCGAATGTAAGAAACCAAAACTAATTTTCCTATCTATTAACAGACTTATAAAATTAAATTACAAAAATTTGTCTGACCAAAACTAAAATTTACTACTAATAAAAGAAGAGGTTGGAAAATTCATCTTGACACTGTCTCTTTTTGTTCTGAGGGAAAAATTCTGAATTTTGAAAGCTAAAAACTAATTTTTGCTACTGATAGTGATAATAAAATTAAATTTTATATTAAAAAATATGTCTGACCAAAACAAAAATGTACTACTTATTAAAATTTCAAGAATACGGAGAATTTTTTTCGGAAATGCGACCTTGTAATATAATAAAAAAATTTAGAATTTAAAAATCAAAAACTAATTTTTATTGCTGTTCAAATAAATAAAATTTATGTTGGAAAAAATTTGTCTGACTAAAACTAAATTTTACTACTAATTAAAAAGTTGAAGAATTCGGAAAATTTTTCTTGAAACTGCGAGAATTAATTCTGATGCAAGTATTTTAAATTTAAGAAACAAAAACTAATTTTCTTAACTATTCACAGAATTAAATTTGTGTTTGAAAAGTCTGTCTGACCAAAACTGAACTTTACTACTTACTAAAATTACATAAATTTGGAAAATTTTTCTTGAAACTGCATTTTTTTATTTTAAGCCAAAAAAAAAAAAAAAATGTTATTGAAAAAAAACTCATATTTTTGTCACTGTTTCAACAGAATTAAAATTAAATTAATAAAATTTGTCTGACCAAAATTAAAATTTACTACTAATTAAGAGATAATTTGAAAAATACTTTCTCTGTTGCGTTCTTTCCTTCTTACATAAATATTCATATTTTAAAAAAAACCAAAAGCTAATTTTCAATAATGTCAGGAGAATAAAATTTCTGTTTAAAAAACATGTCTGACTAAAACTGAACTTTACTACTAAAACTACAAGAAGTCAAAAATTTTTTTTTTCAAACTGCGACCTCTTGTTGTTCTAATAAAAAAAATTCAATGTTAAAAGACAAAAAAATTATTCTCACTACTCTTACAAAAAATAATTTTATTTATAGAAAAATTGTCTGACTAAAATTAAAATTTACTACTATTTAAAATTAGAATGTAGAATATTTTTTTTAAATTTCCAACTTTTATTTCTGATAGAAATATTGCAAATTTAAAAAACAAAACGTAATTTTTTATTCTTTTAACAAAATTTAATTGACAATTTAAAAATATGTCTAAGCGAAACTAAAATTTCTTACTGATTAAAATAAGCAGAGTTTGACAATTATAAAATTGCTATCTATTATTTCCATCCAAAATTAATTAATTTTAAAACCAAAAACTAATTTTCATTACTTCTAAATAAATTAGAATATTAACAAACTTTGTTTCGGAACTTTTGTACCCCAATCCTAAAATATAACAAAACAAAAGTTTATTATTCGAAATTTGTACTAAATTAATTTCAATTGTAGTTTTTGACAATTAAATTTTTTACAGTAAAGACTTTTGACTTTGAGTCAACTGTATCATATTCTGGGTGATCAATAATTTTTTTCATTTAATTTTATTACTTTTTTTTATTATTTTTTGATCTTAATTATGTTAATTATCTTTTTTTTTATTTTCATTTTTTTTTTTATTTTTTATTCTCATTATTATTTTAAAAAGTTTTTAAATTATTATTAGTTATTTTCATTTAATTCTTCTCTCTCTGTTTATCCATTATTTTTAATACTGCAAAAAATTAATCACGTTTTCATATTTTATATGATGCTATATTATTTATTTTTTAATTTTACCTCTTGATTATTATTATTTCATTTAATTATTAATGGGAGAATAATAACTTGCTAAAACATAATTTCAACTTAACGTATTGATATATAAATATATATACAATACATATTTATATAAATATGTATATACACATGTCATAAATTGAAATTAATTGCAGATCATTTCACGTTCTATTAATATTCATAGAGTGGACAAACGGTTATTGATTTGTCTCACCTTTCTGTACCACTTGTTCACGGTTATATAATTCTTTACTCAACCAAGCATTTTTTATTCAATTAAAAAACATGAAAACAAGTTTGTTAGATTCACACTTCGTATATATTTAAATATGTATTTACATACGAGTATTATACCCCTATGTATACAACTATTGTTCTAGTAAACTTGTCGACGTGTACACAAGTATAAAAGTGTAAAAAAAAACCTCACTCTATTTTCAACCCTTTTTTTTTTCTTCTCTTCATTCTAATGTATGAGGAAGAAGTTTTTTTTTCTATTTAAATCGAAAAAAGAATAAAAAATTCATGGGTAAATTAATTTTTTCCAACACGTTTG